TACAACTGACTACTGCTCCAGTAGTATGTCAGTTTCGGCATTTGTACTAATCGCATTTCGATAATGATTCCAAAGAACTTGAGCATCTCTTCGTTAGTGGTTGGTTTCTATTAATGAAATATTGACTGTCTACTAGTCTCATGATTTTACAAGTATTGTTACGCGTACCGATTAGTTTCACGAACCATGAGGTCAATAATTTCGTCCGTAATAAAATGTTGATAGCAATCGATTGGATTAATTGTATTATCTTCTGACACAGAAGTTACTTCTTCGATGAGCCCATGACCCTCCAAGAATTCTGCATCGGATTTTGGTTCTATTGCATTCCAAATATGTGAATCCACGTCATCATCAGTAACTTCTTCATCGGAACTATCAGATTCCAGGTGTATTGTATCAAAATCGTCATCTAGAGAACTCACTTCACTGAGTGAGCTAGTGCTATCTTCTGTATCGACTTCTTCAAACGACATGTGAACTTTGTTTCAAAACTTCGGGCATATTTATATACAAAGGATATAGAGAAAAGAATAAGAGAGAAAAAGCTAGACATTTTCATCTTCCTCTTGCACATGCTTCGTAAAACATGCAAAAAAAAGAAGGAAAAAGTAAATTGAGCGATTATTCAGTTGGGCGGAAAAAAAATGACTCAGTATGTGCTAATATAAAGAAGAGAACGAGAAATAATCAGTAGAAGATAACGGCAAGATCGTCAAGTGCATTTGTCAGAAATCAACTATCCGTAAAAATGAACATCTCGAAAAAAATTTCTGAGAAACTTGAATCGAGTTGAATCTGTTAATAAACAACTATCACTAGAAAGAGAAACGAAGAAATCAAAAGCAAATGTATGATTTAATACATCCTAACAAATAAATAAAGAGAATCAACAGTAAAGCAAATATTAGTGATTGAATATGTTTTATTTAAAGAAAAAATGCATAGTTTTTAGTAAGTTCAAATTGTATTTGTCTTCTGATGGTGTTGTTTTTATTGCGAGCATTAATCATTGATCAGCCTTAATCTAATGGAATTGAAATGCAGGATGCTGGTGGTTTTTTTGTTGTTGCTTTTGTTTTGGCTACTTTTTTGGTGGCTGCTTTTGCTTTTGCTGCTTTTTTTCTTGTTGTGTTTTGTTTTTCTGTTACTTCTAATGTTGGATACTGTTTGTATCCACGTATTTTTGACGGAAATTGACCAAATTCAAGGCAATTTGGGTCTTTTTTAATATAATCATTCCATGCTAAAATGTTCTGTGTCACTTTATAATTACAACATGTTCGTGTAATTTTATCAAGAAAACGTGTTTTTTTATTAATTTTTTCTTTAAAGATAATTTGTATACATAGCTGGTTCTGATGATTTAATTCATTTATTTCTTCACCAATACCAATATATTGAATGTTTTTAATATCAAATTCTTCTTTAATATACTTCATTACAACATCTTTGGAAACATTAGTCCATGATGTAATAGCCAATGATTTTGTATTTAATCGAATAGGTTGTCGACGAGAAGATACTGATGGTATTTCAACATTAAATTGACATAATTTTGCAATAGTCGGTCGATCAAGATCATTATATATAGTAAAAGAACTATCATAATCAGTAATATTATCTGCTTGATTAACTGATGGATCAGGAGATGGATCAGCTGCCATGGCTCTATGACTAGATTGACTTGGATCGTTTGCAATTGCTGAAATTAATGTTGAATCATTAGGTTTCATTGTTTTAAAAATGATCGATGATGATGATAATAAAGATGATAATGGAGACAAATTATTATTATTTTGTGCCAAAAAATCTAAATTGCCTATTTGAACGTCTAAAGAATGATTACGATTAATTATGTGTCATAAACATTTAGTATGAGAAATAGAAATACACATAAATACTATATTATTACCTTGATCAGACATCATTGGGATGTCATTACTACATTCACGAGATAAATCAACATCAGGTATGACTAGTTCATTATGGAAATTGTCTAAAGATTGATTATTTATGTTTTGACTAAAATTGATGTTTACATCAACAGTATTGACTCCTTGAAATATATCATTATTCTTATCAATAATACTTGTATCAGAATTATTAATATTATTGCACATTGAATGATTAGTATCAAATGTTGTTGTAGAAAGATTTTCTGGAAACTCTTCATGTAGCCATTGTGCAAAGGGCTTGAGTAAGAATAAAGTAAAGAAGCATATATTACTTATATTGATATATACTAAGATCAGTATTAATAGTACTAGTCTTACCTCATCAAAGCTCATTTGCATTACTTCATTTATATGTGAGTCTTGACTGATAATAATTTGTTCATCAAAGCTATCACTAGCATAATCCATTCTAATTGGATTTGGTGTTGTGAGCATTAGTATCAAATATAAATAGTCTAGAATTAATCCTTGTAGATATAGACAAAAAATCTGAAAATGAATCAATAGAAAAAGGTAAAAACGAAGAGAAAAATATAACGTCATGTACTGTTCTTTATTTTATTCTATCAAAGAATTTATTTCACAGTCGAAATGCATAAAAATAAAAAACAAATATGTTGATTTGTTTATTAAATCATACTTTATCTTTTGTCTATTTTAATTGCATGCCAATAATTGTTGTTCATGATTAAATCAATCTTTTAAAAAAATCTTACTTATTGATGAGAATTTAAAAAGAATAAACATTGATGTATATTTGATTAAATAATGATCTAATTTATTGTCTATTTGTTGTAATTGATGTTCAATTGTTTTTTTTCGACATTGTTCATTATAAAAGATTTTGATAAATTTTATACATTTGACATGTTGTTTTATTTTGATAAGCAAAGAATTTTGTTACTTTTTAACTGTTGGTGCTTACCTTTTAAGTTTAATTTATTATATTGTCCCTACAATTATCATACAAAAAAAATCATTATATTAAAATTTTATTTCATAATTTCAATGTTTTGACAACTAAAATAAAGTTTGTTTTTTTGTTTTGGCATATTTAAATATTAGATAACGTAGACAGTATTAAACATCGCATAGGAAATTATTTCTTTCAATATTCAATGTGATACTTTTATATCGTATTACCTCAATTTTTCTATTATTCGTTACCGAAAGAGAAACAGTAGAAATGTTGTCCATAAAGTCTGTTGAATTTTCTTATCAAATCTGAAAAATATCGGATATATGAGCGAAAAAAAAGCATTAGACACATGATTCACGAAGTCTTTAGAAACCTTAAAAAGACTCTACTGGCAATGTCTATTGAAGTCTTGAAGTCAGCTGTGTTTTTTTCTTGTGTGTCATTACAGCTTGAGGCCATTTATTGGAAAAAAAAAACTTCTATTTACTATAGAAATGTAAAAAATGAAAATATAGAAGTTAAAATATATTAAAATTTTTAATTATATGAAAGTAATAATGTTCATCTTGAAAATTGATAGTAACTTATTATTTCAGACGGAAAGTATATCAGAATATGAAATAGAGTTTCAATAGCATAATTATAAGAATTATTACGATTTTATTTAATGTATTTAATCAGCAAAGAATCACAAACTTCAAAAGCCTTTCTCAAAACACACTGTTTCATAAATTCTAAACACTATAGAAGAATAACATTGAATCAGGTGCGAATTTTTACTAGATGCTTTGACATGTGTATCGTACTTACGATAGTAGCAAAAGGAGTGTGGGGGTGAATGTGTAGAGTTATTGTAAAAGTACATAGTTTTTCAGAGTATATTATTAAAGATTTATAGATCGAAAGCATCGACAGGACGTATTTCAACCTTGCTTAAAAGTCATTGTCAAATATATTCACAATCTATGGTAGTTTTTAAAATTACTTATTGATTTTGCCATAATTTACTATACTGAAAGTATACAAATGAGATAATCTAGACTCGAATAGGACAAATATCTAAAAAAGAAAACAAATATAATAGAATTATAACACTGTAGTGAACATAAGCAATAATTTTTAATGAGGTACAATATACTTTCAACAAAAGTTGTTTTTGGAATGTATTTCATCACAGTCACCACAATCAATTTTAATCTTGCTAAAAGTACTTATTAGAGGACTAAATTCCTTTTATGTGTATGTATTTTCAATTTTTCTTGTGAATTGTACTTTATATCAACAATGCCTAGTGATAAGATGAGTAGATTTTGTCATCGTTCGTTATTCGATTTCATTTGCAACAATTAACCTATCTAATATGGATTTTATATGCAATATGCATTACTGTGATATACCATCAACAATTGAAAATGTTCGAACTTCTTCAGCTTGAATTTCAAGTGCCTGAGAAAAGTGGTCATATATAATAGAACAGTTTTTCAAAGCATTTGATATAAGTAAGTACCAAATCGATAATATTTCTACAGCTGATTCCAATCGAGACAGACCTAAATACAAAACACTATAATTTTCAATTCAAACGTAGAAATAATCACAAAAAGATACATACAAGAGTTATGATGTCCAATTATTCTTCTCATAGCTATGATGTTCCAATAGTAAACATCATGATTTTCAGATGAAAAGACGTAAAGAATAGAAATGCCGGTAACCGAAGTCGAAAAATAAAATAGGAAAACACCGTAATAACAGCAATTCTGGTCAAATGTAAAACGAAAGCGGTGTACAGAAGTGTGCACGGCATGAGCCACGCATAGGAAAAAACGCTAGAAATATAATCGTCGCCCACTCTGAAAGAACCGAGGAAGACATAACACAATGGTAGCCCATCCTAAAAAGCAAAACGTTAAAACACACATCTATATCCTTAGCCACACACAAAGAATGCACTACCATAGCCTATCATTTAGAAATCGAACAAAAAACAGATCGATCGTAGCCCATACTTCAAGAACTTCTAAAGCATTTACACAATTGCCGCCCATCATAAAAGGAACAGGCAAAAATAGAAACATAGATTACATCTGCAATAGGAAAATACGAGAGGTTTCGTAGATTGACGTGAAAAATAAAACGTAAAAACAAACACATATGATTTCGCTTATAGAAAAGGTATGACCATAGCCTATCATAAAAAATACAATGCAAGAGCAATAATGTCTGATTGTACTCAAACAGAAAAAGAATTTCGGAGAGATGCACGATGTCAATCGAAGCCCGAAAACAGACATGTATGCCTATAGTCATAGAAAACAAAATATACACCGCCCTATCCCAATGGTAAAAGTAAAACACCAAAATAAATGGCTATGGCTATAGTCGCAAGAAGAAGAAATATAAACCACCGTAACCCATTGTTCAAATAAAAAGTGAAAACAAACATGTATGATCCATAGCTATACAAAAAAGAAAAATAAACGCCACCGTAACCGATTGTTAAAATAAAACACGACAATCAACATATATGACCATTGTCATACAAAAAGAAAATATGCACCTCCCTAACCGATGTATAGACACAACGCAAAAAACAAGTATGTGTAACTACAGTCATACAGAAAAAAAGATTTGCGCCACCATCACTCAAGTAACAACGAAACGCGAAAACAAACATGTACGACCATAGTCATACAAAAAAAAGCGCCACTATCACCTATTGTAAAAATAAAAGACGAAAATGAACGAGTACGATTACAGTCACAGAGAAGGAAAAGAGAAGTAAAAAAAAGAAGAAGAAATATATGATAAAATTTATGTGCAGTACAGTTTTATTTCAATCAGATATAATCCATACAAATAGATTTACATTGTAACAAATATTTAAACTTTAAACAAATGTAAGGATAATATCAATTGACCAAGTTAAGACAAGATGTCATGACACATGCTTCAATGTTGATGATAGAGAAGTATTTCAAAAGAATCAGAATAGTATAGACCAAGTAAGTAGAATAGAAAAGAAGATTGAGAAAGAAAATATTTCGAAGCACTTACCTTGTTAAGAAGAATATTGGCCTATGATGAAGAAAAGTTGAAGTTGATATTGAAGATGAGATGTTGAAAATGATACAATTTGTTATACATTTGCGCACTAAAATTTTGAGAATCGAATTAACTTTAACTATAGTCACGAATGATTATCACAGTCTGTAGTTATCTAAAATGAAAATTTTTGAAGAGATATCAATAATTTCTATTCACAAATGGGTGTGTAAAGCTAGCACGATTTCAGGTATTTTGATTTTGTTGAAAGCTTATCAAGTGACAGAAGATATTAGTATCAGAGATACAAAGAAAATTTCTAAATCACTAGATAATGTCATCTTCTATTTCTAAATATTTCTGTCTGAGAGAAAAAAATTTAATTCGAAATTACGACAAGAAAAAGTTGACATTCCGCAAATGACGATGTACACTATGCAAGCTAAATGTGACTATAACTTGAGCAAAGCAGAGAGATTATTCATGGAGTCAATGAATGAGTAGCATATCGATAAAAAAAAAGACAGATATCTGATCTATCAGATGACGTTTTTTTGAACAAGTAACTTTAACCTTTACATCAATTGAATTTTTTGAGAAACGAATCATCAAGATCAGATTTACATTCTTCCACTGAAATAGAATGGTTGTTCTTTCGCCAATTTCACAATCGGTATGATTTAGATTTTCGTTGCGGATGGAATACTTACTGGTTAATAATGAATTCTATATGATTTCGAAAACATGTATATAATAATACTAATATTTTATTTCAATATATATCGAAAGCTATATACTGATAAATCCATATCATCGAATAAAACGCAACAAAAGAGATTCTAAAATAGCAGGAGAAGTTTTGCGTTGTTTCAGAAATTCATAAGGAATTTCTATAGCATATTATAAAGTAACATTCTATAAAAGAGAACCGTCTAGATTGGTGAAGAAGTAATAATATATATATATATATAAATTTAACAATAATGTTTAATCAGGTCTTCAAGGATATAAGACAAGTGAAATGATTGAAAGAAACGACAGAATGAATTTCAACTATTCATAAAATATATACCATTTATATCAACAGTAGTACTGTTTGTTTTTCTGTTACTATAATTACGTGATAGATGGTATCCTTAGCTATGTGTCTCTGTTAATAGTTAGAAAGATATGGAAAACATTGCTCTTTTTTTTTTTTTTTTTGAAAGTGAGGAGATGATATTAATTTAGCGTAAACTGATGAATTGTACATAGAATGAAGTGTAGAGGTAGTTGAAAATTAGTTTTCGATCAGTACAAAACACTTAATTAGATGGATTACAGAACAACTCTCATAGTTCGTTAAGTTATAGCATAGGAAATCTATGAAATAAGAATACCTTACGAAGTATCTGCTTAATAGCTTCATTCTTGTTCCTCTTACTAGTGATAATTTATTATGAATGAAGAAACTTGCTAATGGCAAATCGAT